CCTTTGGCACCTCTTAACTGGCACAGACCAGGGCTTGATCAGCAGACTGTTCATCACAAATCTCATCGTTCTTGGCGGTCTCACAAAAGTCATGTTTTCACATCCCAAATAAATGCTTCTGAAACAAATCACCCTAATGCAACATTGGGCAGAGCTGGGCTTTTCTCTCACACTCTGGCCTTTGGGCACCATCCATTCCACGTGAAGTGCCCTAAGGCGGGGATCACATGGGAGAGCCTCACTTGCATTATCATGATTAAATCCCGTTACTCTTGCTTCCAAGCCACAATACTTGCACTGAGCCCAAGCTCTTCCTGAATTCTACTTCAAAAAAGCCAAGAACACACGCAACTCCCTGACTCACAGATCTCATTTATTTTTAAAAAATGGCACTTCCCCCACTGGCACAGATTTACGAGTTATGCTCTCAATCGTCCTACACGAAGCCCTGGGATTTGGAGTCAGAAGACCTGCGTTCAAATCCTCGCTCTGTTAATGACCGCCGATGGGACCTTAATCCCCCTGGGCCTCAGTTTCCTGTCAAGTGAGGAGGTTAAGTGAGACAATCACAAAATCATGGAATCACAGAATTTTCCAGTAGGAAGGGACTTTCAGCAGTCCATACTTACTACAACACAACCAAAAAATGATCATCCAATATTCGCTGGAAGACATCTAGTGAGGAAGGGCCCGCCTCCTTCCAAGGCAACCCCTCCCCATATTCCACTTGAATGGATTTTAAGGGTTTGCCTAGCACTGAATCCTCTCACCTCTGATCTTATTGATTATGATGCTATGAACACTAAAAGGAGCCTTTTTTTTAAGTTTGAAACATGGCTTCTCTTGCCATGTCATCCTCAATGAGTCCCCTCTGACAAGTGAAAGTCAAGGGCCTAAGTTAGAACAAGCAGTATACAAGGTTTCCTACCATACAGAAAGAAGGGAAGAGAAGATCACTCTTCTCTTGAACCACTCTCTCTCTTTCTCCCCACATCCAAATGGCCATATTGACACTATGAGCAACAGTATCATTCATCCTAAAATGGAAAGCACCTGCACATTTTCAGCAAGCGACCACTTCAAAAATAAAATCAATAATGGGCCCAACCACAGGTTGCCAGGTCCTAGAACGAGGCATTTTAGAGTACAGAAGCACTTGATCCAAGACTTAAGAGGCCGTATTAGCTGTGAACAGAGGTCTCTTGGAGGCACGCCATGTAACTTTATTTAATTCTGTGTGCTATTACTAATAAGTTGGCAGACCACTGTTTTGGCCCGTAATCAAACATGTCTTGTTTTGGGAAATTAAGCTCTAAAGTAATCAAGTCTCCTCTAAGCATCCAGAAGGTCATTCAGACTTTGCTTCACCCAGAGAATGAGTTACACACGCACATATCAAAGAAACCTCAAACTGTTCAGACATTATCAAACAAATTATTTGAGGGGCCAGTCCAATAGATCCACAGTATAGGAATAAATTTTACATACACACACACACACACACACACACAAATAGGGATCAGACCTGTAACTCCATTAATTAAAGAGAATCCTTGGCTAAAGAGACTCCCTTTACTGGTACAGGTTGGCACCTTCTGCCTAGAGCACTAAGGGATGATTCGCTCAGGGTTAACTCAGCCAATATGTCTTAGGCAGGTTGAACTCGGAACTCAGGCTTTCCTGGCTTCAAGGCCAGCCATTTATCCATATGTATACACAGATGAGGAAGGAATGAGAGAATTCAGTACATTATAGTGGTAAGAGCTCTGGGTTTGGAGACAGGAAGATCCAAGTTTCAATTCCCCTCTTTGACCAACTGTGCGACCATGGGCATCTCACAAATTCTTTATGTCTCAACTTCCTCATCTGTCAAATGGGGATAATACCTATACTTCCCATCTGACAGGGTTTATTGTGAGGCTCAAATGTGATAATAGTATGCATAAAGTGCTTTGCAATCTTTAAAGAACTATATAAATGTCACTATTATTTTCAAATTAGTTGATTTGGAAACATAAGATTGTAGTTCCATAGCATAGGAACAAATTAAGCAGCTCAGAGTTAGTATTTGAACCTAGGTTTTCTTATATTAGGTCACATTGCTTGAATGTATTCAGTAGGTTTCTTACGAAGGGAGGGAGAAAGGGAAAGACAGAGAGAGAAAGAGGGAGGAGTAAGAAGAGAGGGAAAGGAAAAGGGGGAAGGGAGGAGAGCAGGAGAGAGGAAAGAGAAGAAAAGGATGGGGGAAGGGGAGGGATATAGATGAAATCATCAGTCCTTGAAACATTAAAGAATACTGGATCATTGACTCTACCTTTTTGAGCCAAAATGAGCTTAAGATTCCTTCCAGCTCTAACATTCTATGACTTTAATTTAATAGAGATCATTTATTATCCTGCTACATGTCACCTGTGTGACCTTCTACAAATCACCTACCCTGGACTTCAGTTCCTTCATGAGGATGTTGGTTTCTGAGGCTACTTTCAGCTCCCCCTGAGAGGGAGAAAGGGCCTGGAGAACAACATGATGAAGTGGGAACAGGGCTGAACTTGGAATCAGAAATACTGGGGTTCAAATCCCACCTTTGACATCAGTAAGCCACTTAACTGCTTCCAGCCTTGGTTTTCTCCTCTATTATGTGGGGATAACAATGCTTGTAGCACCTACTTCATGGAGGTGACTGGAGACCACACATGGAAAGCACTTTCTAAATGGGATAACGTCAGAAAGGTCCTGACTTAAAATGAGCCTTCTGACAGAGCCAACAGAGGCCGAGGCCCATTCTTCAGAGGTTAGAGCGGGGAAGGGAGGTAAAAGGGGGTACAAATAAGAAACTGAGCTGCCATCTTTGATTTTGCTCTCATGATATTGCATGTCACAATAATTAGGTAGTACCACATGTGCTTGCTTCTTTCCTCCTGCCCCTCAAACCCCCACCCCCCAAAAAAGAAAAAATGCCAAGGACAATGTTCAGGTGTAGTGGTGCAGCAAGTCTGCAAGCTTTTCAAGACCCAATGGTACAGCTGTATCTGGCACTACTTCACTGGAGGGACTCTTTTTTTTTCTGGTTTACAATAGAAAAAAAAAAGTGGTTTATCAGGCCCCTTTCCATCCTAATAGAACAGCAGTTCAACGGATGGATCAATAATTCAACATGACAACTAACATCTTTTATGTCTCCAATCAAGGCAATAACTTCCCTGACATTACTCACAGCGAAGAGGGCAGGCTCTGCCTCTGTTTAGAAATCAGAAATCCTTCTTGAGTTATTTTAACTTATTATGTTTTGAAATATTTTTAACATACATATCAGTGGAAATGATGTTGAATTTTTAATAAATCTTTAAAAATGACATTTCGGGATCATGAATTTTTCCATTCCTATTAATACTTAGTTA